ATATCCCCTCTCATTAGGTCTACTGTTGTAGTAGCATTCCATCGATTCCAGGTTCTCTTGTCTCGTCCATGTATGGTCTGTTGCATATTTAAAATATTCAATACCAGATGCTTTGTACAATGAAGAAGAATATAGATTTTAAATTTAAAAACAATTGCTGTGCTAGATCAGACCATATGCCAACTGGTTAGTGTTTGGTTTCTAGCAGTAACAATCCAAAGTTATCTAAAAAGTCCAGAAAAACAGGCTAGTGATGTGTTTTCTTTTCTGTTTTTCATTAATTCCCAGTATTTGGCAGTCAAAGAATTCTGAGAGGTTTTCTATGGCTCTTTTCATTTGTTAGCATTTATTTATATCAGCTTTTAGCCCATTTTCTATTAAAAGTAAACCCAAATCACAGCTATATATGTCTTAATCTTTTTTTTTCATGACCTAAACATGATGGAATTGTGTTAACATTGCTAGAATTGGCAATTTATAATTTTTTTTAAAACAGTACCTGTGTTCACACACTGTGTTAGTGTGAGGTCCTAATGTGGTTTGTGAACCACTCCATTACAGCTTTTCAAGAAATCATAGGTTGGCACAATGTGTGAAACCAGCTAGTGGGACCACCCAAATATTCAAAAAAGAACCACTGTCTTCAAATGATCCAAAATTTCAAGCAACCTTTTAAGAAATGGTAACTAAAACAGTTATGGAACTATTAAGCCAAAAGTACATTATTGTTGGGTTCATACAGGATGTGGTAACCAAATTAGGCTGTTTTCTGGGTTTGTACAGTACATTGAACACTAACCAAATGGATGGGATTTATACAATGTGCTAAGCCACAAAGAAAAAGGAGTTTTCTTTGTGGCTTAGCAAATTGTATGAATCCCATACAATTTAACAACAGTTAAAACCAAACTAATTTTGCATGTTTTGTGAAGAGAGCCACTTTGTGAAGAGAGCCATTTAACTCACCTGCTTAAAGATGTTGTGTGAATATAACCACATACAGTATGTAAAATTTAAGGTTTGCTTTTCAAACCAAATTTTTGAAAGTGTCAAACCAGAACAGACTGATAATTTTTAGGACAAGAAGTAAAGAAACCTTGCACGAAGCCCCATTGATCCAAAGGAAAAATCAGTCAGGGCCAAGAGTGGCTTAATTATGGGAGTTGCAATCCGACACATATGAAAGCTTCTGGCCAAGGCAGGCTGCTTTAGAAATAGACACAAACAGCAAAATGACCATCAAGATGGCCAGCCAGATACAGAAGATAGTCTTTATCAATCAGTGCAGATCACCTGAGCTGGCCTAAGTCATCTGTCTATATAAGGCACAATAGCATTAATTAGCAAATAGCACATGAGAGCTCAGTGATATTATTTCCTTTTATGGGAATGCATAATCTAAGTCCAAAATGCCTCTTCTCTATCAACACCAATAAAGGAATATTCTGATCTCTAGTAACATACTTACCAAACTTTGTGGAAACCTCTGATGCTAGCACCAAAGAGAGAAAACAGATTAAGTTCCCTTCCTATATTCAAAGCAATTTCAGAAGCAGAGCTATTGCAAAACCAGAGTGATCTTTGTTGTTGAGCTCAGCTCTGTATTTTTTTCCCCTGGCACTGCTTGTGAAAATAGTTTTCTTGATTAGGGTAGCACCTCTTCTGTGTCTCCTTAGTTTGCAAATAGAGTAAGGATCTCAACATGGAATTTTACAGGGAACCAAAAATGGGATATTATTGCATTTGGAGAAAACCAACTCTTCAGAATGCTGCTGCAGCATTATTTCATCAGTTTCCTGTTGGGGGTTTGCTCACTTTATCTAGCACCTTTGTTTCTGTGGTCAATCGCACATGTGTGGGTGTGTATACACCCCCACACACATTATTAAGAGGAACACCTCACACCTTCTCACCTCTGTTTGTGGTAAAGGGAGTCTAACAGAGGGAGAATGGCATTCATACAAACTACTATTGACTGTGGAGTATGCTCTCTAGTGTAATGCTAGTCTCTCTTTGTGAAGCTAGTGATGCACCTGCAGTATACAGATTAAACCTGCATCTAAACAGCATCCCTTGCATGACACAAAAAAGCCTTTCCTGTGACTTTTTTTTCCCACCAAGTGGAAAGCTTTATGAAGTGAAATGGAAGAAAGCAGGTGGCAGAAGCCTGCTCAGTTGGACTCCTCCCTTCATGCCCACCTACACAGGGTCATTGCCACCAACTGCCTGACGGGAAGGATGTTAGATGTTTGTGTTTTTCCTCCCCAATATATTTTACTGTATATTTCTTTACTATTGTTTCATGGTGCATGTAAGCTGCTTTCTCTTGAAAGGTGCTCATGACTAATTATAATACATGAGGAAATTATTTTTTTCTTAGGGAAAAGGCATTTTGGTTTATTGTAGAGAAGAATATTTTGTTGTGTGGCTTTCTGGCTACAGTCTGAAAGGATGGTACCCTGCAGAATTTGATTGGCTTCATATGAATGAGGCCATCATAGATACACTCCAGCAGCCGTGCTGCTCTTGGGGACTGCCAATGATCCCACTTTTCAGATATGCTTATACCCTCATAAAGGAAAAAAAATGCTGACAACTATCCCCTGATGCTTCTCAAATGTTAATTCAATACAGGCAAGGAAGAGATCTCTGTTAAAAACTGTATAATGGAAGAGCTCACATTACCTTCTAATTCGTTTTTAATTTTAATTGGAATATAATGTGGGCTTTTTCATTACTTAGATTCATTATACTGAAATTCTCTTTTTACAATTACTCAATCCTGAAGTTAGAAAATCTTGCCAAATATAAAATAAATTCCAAGTCTCTGGCATCCTCGAAGAGCTATTATACTCTCAGCAAAGGATGACTTTAGTGACAGAGCTAGCTCCAATATTCACACTTGGCTTTTAACCATCAGCTGGAATATTCACAAGTATCAGGAGTGATGTAAACAGTCTTACATCATAACCCAAATGTCCACGGAGTTATTCCTAGTCTTGTCTATTTCTATTGGGGCTCTTTGCTGCAAGATATCCAGTTCCACAAGGTGTAATTAAAAAGTAGATTTTATTACAATAGTCCAATCCATGTGCAAATAATATGATTCTGTAGTTAGATTATTATAAGTTAAAATGTATCCACACAATAAAAAAAAATAGAGGACTACATCATGTACAATAGAATTAGTTACAAAGGGAAATCCTTTTACACAGAACCAGCTCAATCAGACACCCTTTCAGTCCTTAGCAGGTCACATGAAACCAATGCTGGGGAAGACAAAAGGCAAATGTGTGCCAAGTCTCCAGGCCCATGTTCACCAGCAGAAAGAAAGTAATTTCCTCTCCTATCATTTTTACAGCCATGTTTTCCCCCAACAGTAGACAGCCATTGCTCATCTGTTATTTTATGTCAAGAACAAGACAATGTTGATTCCTCATTGATAATACATGGATATTTCAATTGCATAGAAATCCAGAACGTTTCAAACAGATTAGTTCCATTCTGGACCACTTATTCTTAGATTTCCTATAACTCGGGGTGACCAATATCAAAGCCAGCAGAAAACCTCACACTCCGTATATCAGACAAGGCCATTTTTAGAAGGCAGAAACATTTCTAGGGTTTTTTTTCTTTTTTTTCCATTTCAGGCTTTCAGCACAAGAGCCCTTTACGTTACAAGAGTTTTTCTTATCACATCACTTTTCACAATTTAATTCATGTACATGCTACAGATTCCATCTTGGTAGTCAATTGGTTAATTATACATTCATGCTTCAGGCCCAAGAAATGTTTGATTGCTGTAGACACAGGTTAAGAAAGTGTTGCTATGTGCATCATATGCTTGCCTTGTGGCAAGGTAATCCTTTCCTTCGCCTCTTCCAGTTACTTCTCATCCAGCTGGCAATAAAGGTACATTGCCACTGTCATTGCTGCAATCTGAGAAAGAGGGAAATGAGAAAAAAAGTGAGTTTTTACTCCTACCCTTCCAGCACAGCACAGCATTAAAGCAGGAGGAAACAACTAACGGTTCCCATTATCTTCTTGAAGAAGTAAATAATACTTTCAATAAGGTCTGGCTCCACCATAAAGAGAAAATAATTCACCAAAACACCAGACTGCAAAATACATGAAGGAGTCTCCCTAGTATTAGCTACTTTCTAGTCTACACAGGATTTGGTTATTTTTGGTTTCAAAATATGATTGTGATTTACAGAGCAGCCAACTATGGCTTAACTGTATGTTCGAACTATGTCATCCCAGTAGGATGTTAAAAAACATAATGATTTAACATTATGCATGAATGCAGTCACTGAAGGACCAACTCCATCACAGAAATGAGGGACACCTCTCAAATCCTTGGATTATTTTCCCAGGTCAGAAATAGCATACCTATGCTTAAGGCACCCTCCCCTGCAGGGGCAAAGAGCAGGGAGACTGGCTTCTCTTTGGTAGCATGTTTGTATTTATCCTACAACAAGATGCCCACTTGATAATGTTTAACAGTGTGAAATCTAAATAATAATCACATATTTATTTAGAATCTTAGAGTTCACATAGTTCTTCACTATTACCTTTTAATAACATATGGCAGAGTAGGACACTTGGTATGCGCTGGATTACAATTCCCATAGGTCCTATCACTGATCAGCATTAGTGTGAAATCTAGTCCTTAATGGCTAGAAAGCACTGGTTACCTATTTTCCACATAGCAGAAATCAAACTAGAATATTTAAAGAGAACTACTACTTTCAGACCCAAGAGTCTACCTTTTTATTGGGTAGTAAAATTTGAGGGTTGAAAGAGCCATTGAATGCAAGATTAGGAACCACTCCTGTATCTGTTGCATACAGGGGCATCAGCAGGGAAGGCACAACATATGCTTGAATCCTTGCCTCTTTTTATGTGTCATGGTCATGGCTGCCATCTTGACTTTTTTGACCCCATCTGCAGACACTCCTGGGTGCATACCATCACTGAGTGCATATCATGAGAAGGCTTCAGTAAAGAAGAGGTTATCTCTTTAAGGCACACCAGTAAAATCCAGGTGTGTTCTCACAAAGCTCAATCAACATACCTCTAGGGCACAGATTCCTGCTGCTACTCCACCCACTACACCAGCATTCTTACGAATTTCATACAGTAACTGAGAGAAGCAGCCCTGGAATTAAAACAAACCAACAAACCAACAAAGTCAGTTAAATGCAGCTCTTAAAAAAAAAAAAAAAAAGCTTTAGTTATCTCCAGAAATTCCTAACCCCAAATGCCTGGGAAGAGTCAAAAGGTGCCATTAAATTTGGCTGGTATTCATCAACAGTTCTTTGTAAAATGCTTCCTTAATACTGAGATACAGTAGGTTCAACTTAAGGTACATCTATTACTAGAAAAGTGAAATCCTGAACTTATTTTAGATCCAAATTCTAAATGTTTGAAACACTGTGGCAGAATTGCCAAGTATAGAATCTGGGTGCTAGATCAGTCAAGGTCATTCCATTCACCCACTTTCCTCCAGAATAGGTATGTTTTCGTACCTTCACCGGACTGGCTTCAACTGCAGTTATGTTGCAAGGAACAGAAGAGTTGCAGCATTGTCCTGGATACCCTTTATTTGTGTTGTAGTAATAGGAGTTATTAAAGTCTGTGTAATTTGACAGACCACAGCACTTCAGCTAAGGAGAAAAACATATATTGAGATTAGAGGTGACATTTATTTATTCTATTTAAACATATAATCCTCAACAAAAACTGATTACATGCTAAGCATATCACTGTCCCACTGCAACTACCTTTTCTTTGATCAAGGGCAGAAGGACTTTTTAACCAATAATTCCATCCTAATGCTTGTCTACTAAGAAGCAAATCTTAGAAGCACTGAGATGACCCTCAATAAACTATTATATAACTATTAAACTACTGAGATAAAGACAATCTTCCAATTTTGGGACAACATTGACAGGCAGCTGTAAAAAAGCAACATAATCTCTGCTTAGGCATAAGGGATGTTTCTACATTTTCTCATAAAATTCCTCAGATAGGATATGAAGATTGGAATAGCCCATGTTCAACTTCACCTCCAATAAAGAGGGCACATTTACTTTATGTTCTGAACCACAATACTAGTAAGGAGCTACAGGCCCTTTCCCAGTATTCATACATTTTGTTGGTACCAGTCAAAACCCAGATGGAATATCTTCAGCTTTTAAATCACTTATGATTTCACATCAGTTCTGCCATTTCCCTCTCCATCCCCCCTCAATAAATGTGGGACACATATAGAACAGTAACATAATGTTGTTTTAACTGACATAGGGTGGAAGCACTGTAAGATGAGGTTCAGACACTCTGCTAAACCACAATGCATATTTTAAAATTCTGGCTTATATGTTGCATGAACCTAGCCACTGTGAACTATAAACCATGGCTTATAGCTTACTAGTATCTTATATAAAGTATTCAATTGTAGGTTGTTCAACAAGCCTTCACACAGCATATGCATTGAGTCAATCCCTTGATATCATGGGAGACAAAGAGATAGCAAACTATTATCTTACAACTTTTGGTAAACAAGATTGATGTCTACAGTTGGAAATCCTAGGGAAAGCAGTTCCCCTCCCTCAAATCCCACAATTCTCAAAAGGTAGTGTAGGAAAGAGTAATCACTTTTCTGCTTAAAAGAAAACAATAATTTAATATATTTAGTTGCTATGATTACCCATTCATTCAACATGTGGTCGCAATGATTCTTTGCCATAACAATAGATTAAGCTATTATAGATGGCAATAAATTAAGCTATTATATTAGTTTAATATTCCCAGCTTGCTTGAAGGCCAACATTCTTCCTTTTGCTTTTCATGGAAAACTATAAACCTTGGTAGGCTTCCATGGATCTCCAGATGAAGCACTTCTACTTGGCATTTAAGCTCTCAAGAGTAGACTTTCAAAACAACCTAGATTATCCCCCAAGCTCTTTTGCAATCTCTCCCTTGCCCTCTTAGATTTCAGTAACATCTATTCCAAAGTATTACATCTTGCACCATCTATCCTGATGGATCCTTCAACTCTCTTAACCTCAAACCTTGACTGCAAGCTTTGTCCACTTAACATCTTCCAGTTACACCGGAGCTGCAGTTACTAGAATCCATGCCCCATGTTTGCCAGGGTGGCTTAAAATGCTAAGAAGTGCAGTCTTGATTAATCCACAGGGCCCTGGCATAGTGATGCTTTCTGAGAAAATGAAATGAATATTTCTCCCGCAGAATTGATTCTCCAGCTTCAGTATCATGGACTAAATGTCTTATGCTATCTGTTCTTCTCTAGTTCCTCAGTTCAGCTTTTTATCATTTGCAAGTCAAGCACACTGAAGTAAAAAACAAAAACAAAAAGCAAACAAAAGACAGCGTGCAGAGGATAAGCTATTATCTCTTACACATTGCTTAGAAATACAACGCTAAATGCACTTAAATTACTTATCGGAATCCAATAGAATACCAACTGATAATTCCTAATTGTTTTGTGAACCAACTTACTTCGGTCATTGTTGTATTCCATATTTCAGTAACTGGATTAGGCTTCCCATAGTCATCTCGTAGTATTTGTGTCACTGTTCCTTGCAATATAGTCTCTGCCTGAAAAGAAAGAAATTATAAGAACACATGAAAACATAGAACTAAGCTTTCCTTATAACTAAAGATGCAAGGCCATTCTTTTGTCCCAGCATCTCTGGAATTATTAAGATTCTACTTCACCTTTGGTATGTCCTGTAGGAATAGGTAGTCTTTGGAGACTGCTAGATCCATTTGGAATTAGGAGAAAATATTATTGGTACTGTCACAAAATGTCTTCCATGATGAGTATTCATTTGGTGAGAAGCTCTCCATCAACCCCTTTAAGGCATTCTAGCATCCTTGCTTATCTTGTGCACCAGTGGACACAAAATATGCAGCCGTTCACCAATTTTATTTTTTAAAACTGTTTATTGAGTCTATGTGGCAGCCAGTCAGAGGGGGTGGTGGTGGTGGTGGTGGTGGTGGTGGTGGTGGTGTGTGTGTGTGTGTGTGTTTTAATGATGTTCAAGGCTAATGCATTGTAGCATACCAGCTTCATTTATTCTTTTTCAGTGAAAAAATATTTTAAAATAATGCCAGGTACTCAGGGAGCCTGGCAGTGTCAAGGAAGTTAACTATGGATGCACTGGTGCTCATGGGCATCAGGTTGCCAACCCCTGTCCTACTGATTAAAAACCAAGATTGAGATATCTGGAAGCTTCTGTTTTCTCTGCACTATTGCCATAGTCATTCAGTGATTAGTTTCTTAAGGTGATTCCATTCATCTCTATGTCATTTTTTATCAATTCAATCTCCTCTTAACATCACAGAAGAATACAGCAGACAATGAAAAAACAAGACTACTCATAACCCTTTAGGCATCACAGAGAAGAGTGCTTGGAGTACCGAAGATGTAGTTCTGCAGCAAAGAATTCAAGACTCTGCTACAACTCCTTTTGCTACTGCCCACACCATGAATTGAATTGCCAAAAAAACTGGGCAGTAAAACAGGACACCTTTAAACTTAAAAAAGGAGGGTAAAGAGCAAACCACAAACAAGTTTCTACCTGGTTTCTCACAATCAAACCAATCTTTTGTCAAATAGAAAAAAGATATCCTTCACTACACAGACAGGATATGTGGAACATTTCTCAAGAACTGCTATTTGGGTATATAATGAATGCTAAATATCCTTTACACTTTACAGTGCAGAGGAGACACATGCCCAAGTTAGGCAGCACAGTCCTGCTTGTGCCCTCCTGAATTCAATAAACTTTGGACTACTGTAATGCACTACATGGGGTTGCCCTTGAAGAATATCCAGAAGCTTCAACTGGTGCAGAATGTGGCAGCGCGAACAGTTATGTGAGCTCCTAGAAGAGCACACATTACACCTCTGCTTTGCAAGTTGCATTGGCTGTCAGTTTGCTTCTGGGTCTAATTCAAGGTGCTGGTTTTGACCTTTAAAGCCCTTCATGGCATGGGGCCAGGTTATCTGAGGGACTGCCTCTCCCTGATCACATCA